ATCTGTGAAACTGGGGCTGTCATTAGGATCTCTCAGATTTATCCAGTGTGCAAAAGGCAGCCGATGCTGTTTTATTGAGGAAAAATAATCGCTTTGAGAAGACCAACACTTTTTGAAGAAGAAGTATATGCTAGATGACGCATATAGTATACGGATATGCATTGTTCAGTATTAAAATATAATTGATGATTATACTGCCAAGATGCGAGAGGTGCGAGTTATAATAAAGGTTGAAGAATTTGCCATCCTTAGTCAAGCCTTGACTCATGGAATCATAGTTTTTGCTTGTTGGATTTTCATAAGTAACAGGATGAATAATGTCCCCCATCCATACAGACATGCGGCAAGGCATCAGGAGGCAGAATCATGTCTAGACCTCAGACTTCTGCTAATGAGAACTTCATCGTGCAGGACGGACGTGGCAACGATCATATCTTAACTTTTGCTGCTGCAGTCATTATTGCGGCTATTGTAACACACACCAAACTGACACACGGATGGAACTGTTCCACAGTCGCTTCAACATTTGTATGGGATCCGTTGGATGATGCAATATACAAAAGTTATTCTTAAGATATTTGCCCTTTTGCCCTCCAAACCCAGGAAAGTTATGCTCTAATGATGGATCAGCTAAAACGCTTAGAAAGAGGTCTTACACCATATAGTACTAACCGAGTTCGAGCTTTCAGTCATTAGTGCGTCTCAGGAAAGCTTCCTAATGACGCTATTTCACGGGTGCTTTTATTTCAAACAGTGCATTTAAAAAGGCCTTCAGTTTATTGTGTTTGCCTTGAATATTCTGATGCTCGTTGACGTTTTTCCAAGTCAGCAGATACCAAAGATTTCGAGAACTTTTCAATGAGAATCAGTCGTTCCTTTGAAGCACCTATGTTTATGTGCCACTTTAAGGTATTTGGATTGACCGATGCAAATCGACGATTGGTGAGAAGTCGACCAATGTTGCTCTCTAGATATAAAATTATTACGGTATAGTTCTTAGGGGTTTGCCAAAAACAGATAATATGGTAGAAGTTTAACCATCGTGGAAGTTTAATTTTGGTCTATGGAAGAAGAAAGGAACGGAAAGTTTTAACGTTGGTGATCTGTAACAACCAGTAAGGAAGAAATTCGCACATTCTACTCAGCGATTCCTCAAAATAGTTGGCTCTTATTTTGGTCGTTGTTTCTAAAAATCGGCCAGCGCTAACTTCAGCAATTTGTTTTGTTTTACCATTTACACCTTATGCTGATTCGTTTCATCTGGTCTCTTTAAGAGGGCTGACCATAATTTCAATTACTCGTTGAATTGCCTCGGTGTTAGTGCCCCTCCTCCATTGTACAGCATACCATAAACTGGGCCATGAGGCATAACCTTGACGGTTTCATTTAGTGCAGGAGGACGGACCTTTTGTTGAAGACGGAGCTGAAGGTACCCATACATATACCTCACCGATGGTTATTCGCAGAAGACGTCATACTGCTCACCGATTCCAGTACTACACGACTGCTACTGACAGAGGTGGTTCAAACCGCCGCCTAACATACAGGCCTGACAGTCAGTCAGAAGAAAACGAACATGAGGAGGAAGGCTGAAGGAACAAAAGATACCGACTTTTCTTCCCTTAGAGAAAGGTTGGAAGGAATTGACCACTACTGATATCTTACAAACGCCGGCCCCTGCGACATTGCTTTAACAACAGCCGCGTTTAAAAGTCTACATAAAAGCTGGTTTCATCACGACATTCAGTTAGGAGGGAAAATGAAGGTCTTAACATCGCCTGTCGTCTTGATCTCTTGATCTTGTTTTACGGCTTAGAAGCGGCGATATTGCTGGTGCCATTAGCACATGACCATCGTCTTAAGGTCTTCCAACAAAGTTGTCTATACAAAATCTTTCCATTCCGATGACTTATGAACAAAGAATGTAATGTAAAGTAATGGCGAGAACCGACTCGGATTTGCGGGAATTGTCTGTACTGCTTGAAGAAAGGCGAATTTCACGGTTGTATAATACACCATTTTCATGATTTAAACAAGGGCTAAACGTCCGTCGCTCAAATAGTCCTATTTTGGAACAAAGCCACGCGCGTCATCACTTCAACGACCAACATCGAATTTAAAAAGATTTACTTCAGGCAGAGGTTTATTTAGGAGTACCTCCTTGACATATTCAATATGGCATGCCTAAAATTACTACTTCGTCTGTCTTTCTGGAGCTACCGTAATGTTAACGACTGCAGTTATCCCGTTGAGATTAATTGATGACGACATACACAGCATATGTGTTTCTATCATTTGTATCTTTTTGTATCAGACAAGACGCAAAGCAGAAAATTTGTAGAAATATCATTAGTTAATACGGGATAATCTTTATGTATATATGCGTACAGATAGCGGCATTTCGATAAGTGTCTGAACAGGCTTCTCTTCGGTCCTGCTCGCTGATTGGCTTTGCAGCCATGCACGCAAGCGCTAAAATAGGAAGGAGCCGTAGTTTGCTTAAACGGGCTCCTATTCTACTAGAAATTATGGGACGGTGTGACAGTCCCAATGTAAATTCGATCAACTGACAGGAGAATATTGTGCTTACTGACGGCAGTGAAAACTAACAGTTTGCTAGTAAACCCATGATACGGGAATTATTTTTGTGTATATCATTAGTTAAATCCTTGTATTTTATGATCGTTTCTGTTAATTTGTACTGTCAGCCTAATCCTCGAATTCTACTTGCTTTTCACGGCGAGTAAGAACTCCGGGCGTAGCTACTATGTATCAGCAGTTCAATGAACAAATTAATACCAGGCGACTAAGTTATTGCATATTTCAGTGATCATTTATGAGTTTAGTTTATGATCAGTTTATGAAAAGTTTGAAATTTATACCATTGCGACATTTTAATGATGAACAAAGGGTATTGTTATAAACTTGAAAATTTTGTTAAAGTCACGGTTTATTCATACACAACGCAAACAGATGGTCAGTTGGGTGATTACCGTGCCGACGTTACAGGTGCTGTCTCATGGGCCTTTTTTATGGTGGACAGGGTTTCTTTCCGCAGTGATACGGTCAAAGAATACGAGCTTCGCACGGATTGAATAAATCTTGTCGAACTACTTAACTAGCAGCGTGGGACCAGAGCACATATTTTGACTCAAAACGTTACGACGCCTGCGAACCACAGAACGAAGTGCAGAAATCAAGCTTTTACATCTCGAAGAAGCCCCTTGAGACATCGGTACTAGTTAATCACTCGACGTATAATGATTAACCCGTGGCAATGTTCAGTATAATCACCAGCGCACGAACGAAATGCTCAGTCTTCCGCTTGTTGTCAACTTGAAGAATTGGCTGAGTTTGAGACTGAAAAATCTATCGCCTTGTTCTTAAGACCGTAATGACTAAAGTACTATGCATCTAAATAATGCTTATAGCCAAAGCTTAGCATATAGCTCGATATCTTAAGGCATCATCCAACTTTTGGCTGCCGCGGAAGCCGGACGAGACGTAATATATTGTACTTTCGGAAATGCGGAAATGGCAGAGCAGCTATCGAAGGTTTATTTCTTTCTGCAAGATAATATGTACACCGTAGGTAATGTTTTTTATTTCTATGTAAATCATACAATTAGTGCTTTCTTATTTCAGGACGGATCTGCGGTCTCTTAGTTCAATACTGCGATCGGGTGGAAGGGGGTGAACAAAACTTGCGGTTATTCGACTACATAAATGAACGAATTAACAGCGTGTTGCTTCTTGATAACGATGCAAACGATTTCGATGGTGGTGGTACAGCTTAAGTTAACTATAGGAATATATACAATATCATAGATTTCCGGATATGCAACGAAAAATCCGGATTCCAGGTTGGCGTGAGTTTATTAAAATTTAAATTATGGAGCAGTTATTTAAATAAGCATACTTTACTGTTTCATATTATGTCTCTGGCTGTAAACGAATCAAACGTCATCCGAAACTTTGGAGAATATGCATATAAAATATTGAATGCGGTGCCACCACAAAAGATTTTTTGAACTTTAGCTTTGTGCTTAATGAATTTGCAATCCTTGAATCCGTGAGATTAAGTGCACAAATGCCTCCTTCATTCAGAAAATGGAAAAAAATAGTTCTGTGCTGTTTTTGGAGATGTCCGTAAATAGATGGTCTTCGATTCCAACATCCATGTTTCTTAATCAGGGTATTTTTCATATTAGCTGATCTAACATCAGCACATAGAAAGGTCAGGACGTATCCCAGGGTGGCTCAGTGGTTAAAGCGTCAGACTCGCATTCTCAACACTTTTGCCTCTTCTCTCGGCCATACCACTGGCCTTTTATCTTTCCGAAGTAGTGAACAAG